TGTCATCTGAAGGTATTAGTACTTAAAAAAGAATGCAGTAACCATTGTTGTGGTCCTTGTCAAGGCAAGGTTACAGGTACCTTACCCGTTGATTGCATAACTCTGTGGGAGCATTTAGATTGAGTTTCTATATAGCACTGTTCCCTTATGTATTCTTCTACGGAGCACTCCTTCACTATACAGGTTATAGAGGAGGCAAGAAAAACAACAAAGCATACCACATATTTTACCCTTTAAAACAGACACTGCTGTTTTTGTTTCATATAACGTGGCTCAGGATATCAAGTGTTTTATGGAGAAACTAAAACTGTGAGCTGAAAGGTTAAGGGCTTCCTGCAGGTGAAGAATGTCCCTCAGTTTTCCTTGAGCCAACCAAGAGCGAAGGGAATAAAGACACTTGCATCTGAGGCTTTTTACCACTGGGTGCCAGTATACACACAGGTTTCAGAGTAGCAGCCCTGTTAGTCTGTATTCGCAAAAAGAAAAGGAGTACTTGTGGCACCTTAGAGACTAACAAATTTTTTTGAGCATAAGCTTTCGTGAGCTACAGCTCCTTTTCTCCTTTACTCCTTTTCTTTTTGAGTATACATACAGGCTCATTGTGCTGAGGATGTGTTAGCATGGTACTAAATCTGCAGAAACAATTCATTGGGAAAAAGCAGGCTTCCTTCGTATTGTATTAGACAATTACATGTTACACATCTCTCAGTAACACAAATATTGACATTGTGAAAATCATTGAGGAAATAGATTGCAGGGAGCCCACTCCATTACAGGGGCTATACCAACGCAAGGGCTATAGAATCAAATCATCTAGGTGTGGACTGCATTTCAGGGATATGTGTGAATGTGAAGGTTAGTTTAATACCCAAGCATATATGAAAACCTGGATAATAACACAGCAATTTGTTCAAGGTTTTCAGCTCTGGCAGTCATACCACATTTGGTTTGGAGGCTTTGTTAGGTATTGTTTGCTTGCTATGGAATATAGAAAATGCCATACCAGATCAGGCCAAAGACTACTGTCCTACCTCTGGCAGTGGCCAGTACCATAAGTTTTAGAGAAAGGTGTAAGTTATAGAAGTAGTTTTCTTCTCACCCTAGGCAGTTTAACATTTGGTTTATACCTTGAAGCTGGAAGGCTGTTTTATCTCTTGTATATGATAACCCTAAAGGAAGATATTTTTATTATCCGTATAAATGTGTAATCCTTTTCTAAATCTCATTATGCTCTGTGCCTCAATAGAGTCTTGTGGCAGGGAATTCCAGTTTCATCATGTTAGCATACCTTTCTTTCCAGCAGTTTTAAGTGTGTCATTGTGGAAGCACTAGAAGAAAGGGACAAGTCTGGGTTTCCTGATGTGAATGCATATCACACATTCCTTGGACACTTAACTCCTAGTGACATCCATGGAAGTTTGGAGTGTGACAAGAGTGCAGGATCAAGCCTATACTACCTAAAACATAGAGTGAATATATTTGTAATTGCAGTGAAGGCTGGTGTTTGGATGGTACTCTGCAGAAGACAAGGAGTAGAAACAGGGAAAACAGTATTTTTTTTCTGAGGGGTGAACTTAATACTTGCCAATGTCCTCTAACACAACATCTAAAACAGAAGTGAATATATTTTTAGTTAATATGCAGTAAGCTTTTCTGAGGCTTGGGTTACTTTTGGGGGTTGGGAGAAAAGGAAGTGTTTGATAGCCAGACAAGTTTGTCCAAATCTCACTCCTCTAGACCTGACACTGGAGGTCAAAAAGATATAGACCCTTATTGTTCTGTATGAAATATCAGTGGCCCTAAATGGTTATAATTAAGGCAGAATTCCTCTAGGAACCTTTGAGGAATGAATGCAATAGCTGGTTGACTACCCCGAAAAGGGGGCAATGTCTACACCCCTCTATGCCTGGCCAGATCCGCTGGCTAGTGCTGGGGAAGAAGAGGGGCAAACTTCAGGCAGCCAGGGTATCTACCACTCATGAAGGATGCTAGGAAGGGAGAGGACCTGCACTCTTCAATGGGATCCTGTCCAGTCCCTGTACATGGGCACAGGGTGTGAGAGAAGAGGATGGGAGGAGCCTTACCTGCAGAAGACCAGGCACAACTGTGCCCTAAGTGAGTTCCCCCATGTCACAGTGAGTGTCTTTGGCAGAACCAGTGTTAGTCCCAGATGCCTGTTCCCTGCTCTAACCACTAGTCTGCACTGCATTTACATGTATTTTTCTAATAAGATGGACTCTTAAGCAGTTATTTTAAAGTGAGCTTTTAAAAGTTCAGTTCACCTTTGAATAAATTAATTTAATTGCACGAATGAAAGGACACATACCCTTTTAAAGTCTGACTCTTCCCGCTGGCATTTCCTTCTCTGTGACACAGAAGGAAAAGTGTAGTGAATAAATTGCAAACTATTTTCAGAAGAGAGAGTTCTATTTTTCCAGTTCAGTAAACCAAAAAAAACCATACATTTAACAAGTCTTATCCTGGAGACTTTAGTTATTAAAAAGTCCCACTGAAGTTGGGAATGAGGTCTGCAGCAACAGACATATATATGAAACTGTTTGTTCATAAATTTATTTTCTATGTGAAAAGAAATGATTTTCTACTTTTCACACTTTCCTAATAGTAGTGATATGATGCAAGATCTAATTTTCACTTACAGGGAAACTGAATCTTCAGGACATTGTCCTGGGACTTGAATGTATTTCAGTATCCCTCTCTGCATACACGTGTTAAGCCTTGTTATGTGCACATGGCTTTATTTGAGAAGTATATCTCTTTTCAAAAAATGACAGCATGATTTTGTATGCAAGTGACCTGGTTTGGTCCACAGTGTTTAGAATTATACAGAGCATTTGAAAAGGCTTTGTGAAGTAAACAGAGCAGGATCAGGGCATTTTGCAAGTACTCCTCTCAGAGGTACTAGAGGAATTTGGCATTCAATTTAGTATGTATAACAAGATAAAACAAGAAAAGAAAAAAACAAACAGGAACTAAGATCTTACTGCCCTCCTGATATAAATTAGCTTCAAACTGAATTCACTAGTTCAGAGAAGTGCCCATTTTTAACAGAGTATATAGCCTGGCTCCAAGAATACCTCAGATTTTGGTAATAAGTTTCAATCACATAGCTGGCACTTCTTCTTGCTCCAAATTTGGGTGCTGATACTAACGGAGACAGGGGAATTCCCTGTGCAGTTTAGGGTGGTTTAGTCATCCAGATTTATTACAAGTTATGATTTTAGACTGGAGCAAATTATACATCCCAGAAAAATAAACAAAGCAGAAATTCTGAACGTCGGCGATGGGTTCTGCCATCGCAATAGGCCCCATATGTCTGATAAAACATGTTACTCCTCACATCTCCTTGATCTGTTTTCAGAGCTTGCTTTCATAGGCATTTTCTTTGTGGTTAGGAGCAGAAGCAAAGAAAGTAATCCTACTGCAATTATGGTTTCAGCAGGGTGACGTCAACTTCTAAGCCCCAATGTCTAGTGGGCAGTGAGGCTCTCTGCTGTATGATTTTTGTCCTGTTGTGCAACTAGTGTTGCATCTCAGATTCCTTTCTAAATCCTGAAAAAGATATGCAGTCCCTCTAGCATTCTGTTAAGCAGAACTGTGTATAAGTTAAAAACTGTTAGAAATTTTAACGATAAAAGAACTTAATATAAGCAAAGTGGTTTGATTTCTAAAGGTCTTTCAGCAGAGGAAGTCTGAAGTTTTTTGGGAAATCATGATCTCAGTCAAGCACTTTTTCCTTTTCCACTTGTTTTCTCTCATTTCTCTTCACCCTCCGTGCTGTGGTCTGCTATCCTCTTTCATATTATCCATCTAATTTAGCTTGTAAGCTCCTTGGCACAGAGAAGTTACCTATTTACTGGCCTCTAAAACATTGTGCATATCAGTTTTGTTACAGAAAAAAGTAATAATCAAACTTTGTTCTTCCTATACAATTACATCAATAAGAAAATATTTTCTGCTCTATTAAATATTGGACTAAACCAAAACACCTAATTCAGTACCCCCCCTTCCCTCAGGTGTTTGTAACCTGAACACAAATTATGCAAACAGCTCCTGTTTTATACTGGGCCAAACCAAGTATGAGTGCTCACAAAATCTATGACTGAATTTTGCAGATTGAACCCATTTCTATTAATGTTTTTTAAATGGTCCAGATACTTGTTGCTACTGAAGAAAATGTTGTACTCTGCTGCTTTAAACAGCAAACAAAGAGAACTTCCATTCCTACTAGTGTTTGCAGACATATTTTCAAAATATGAGCAACCAGAATGATGCACTGATGAAGAGCTTTTTACTTTTTTTTAATTTCGTTTTTGGTTGCTGTAGGACTTTTAGAAAACCTGAGGAAATTCTCATTTTATTAATTTCCTCAAATGAATAAACCTCAGTGAAATTTCAGTGCAACAGATTCTCCTCACCCTCAAGCTTTTTAAAAAAGCAGTTTCCTTCTATTTAGAATTTAACAATTGTAAAAAAAAAGGCTCTGGTAGAACTTATCATGGAAGTACATGGAAAAACTCCAACCAGACTTCATTACAGGTGACCGAAAATAGCAGCTCTTGTAATTCAGGTACACCCTTTCTTTGTACCAACAGCCTACTATAGAACTGTCCTGGGTTTGGTGGTTGTGTTTAAACTGCTGAGCCAATCATTTCACATTCAGGAGTGGACTATGTTTGATAGTTTTACAATATACTGTATATACTTTACTGTATACAATATACTGTATATAACATTAAACACTCCACTTCATCATCTGCTCATGTAACCCTGCTGACAATAACGTTAAAATCGTTACAAGAATCTCAAAAAATTACATTTCCTAAGTTTCCTTTTATGTTGTTTGTTAGAGCATTGCTACCTTTAAATGTGAGCAGGCAACACACACCTTAGATGTCCATGTCCCTTAATGGCAACTTTTACCAGCAGAACTATTTGCTATAGCTTTTATCCACAGAAAAACTATTTAGTGCCACACTTACTGTTGGGGCTACAGGAGGCAGGTCCACCAGTTTGTAGGCATTAGCTTCTGTATCATTCCAGACACCCTTGAGGGACTCCACAGTACTGGTGCAGTTGGGGTTCTGAGGGGGGCAAAAGATGCCCCTTCGAATGGATTGAATATTCATCGGATGAAATAAAAGCAATTTCCAAAAGTGACAGATGTCACAAAAAAGCTCTGCTCTGAATTTTAAACATTTAACCCCAGTTTCCCTTAGTACTGAGCAGGATGTCAGCTTTTCTACTCTGGAACTATGTGAAATGCAGGATTTCTCAGTAGAGCCTCAGATTGCTTCTTTTCCCTCTCCAGCTTAGCAAAAAGCAGCACCAGCAGCTTCCATTTAAATATAAAAGCCTGCAGGGTCTGCACATGCCCAGTTAGGCCCTTGCCCCATTCAAATTAAGGCTTCTGTTTCATTACATTATAAAATTGGTGTCCACTTAAAAACAATGTTATCTTCTTGTTTCTGACAGATTTAAATCTGCATTATAATAGCAACACATTATCCTAATATGACTAGAAAAAGAGAAGGAGGGGGAAGGTTGATTTTATTAGCTGACTTGAATAATAGTCGTCTTACATTTCTTCACTGTGCTGGTGAATTAATTTTCATCCTCTGCAATTAAGGAACATGCAAACATACAATTATGCCAGAAATGTAAGGAATCAAATTAACTCAGATGCAAAACTATTTGTGTATAGCTATAGGTTACGATTAGCGGTCAGTCTGCGTTTAAAAACAAACAGGAAAAATACATGCTAAAACTAATTAAAGTCACACTAAGCTCAACTTCCTTTTCTACCTCTCAGTTTTAAAATCATTTACGGAGAAAGTGAAAAATAACCACACATTTCAGAAATTGTGTGTTATCCTGTGAAGTTTTTGGCAGAAAGAACATGCAGGGCGTAATTCTCATTTATACTAAGGCCTCCTTACAGCACTGTGGCAGTGTCAAAAGTGTGTAATTGGACTGTATCCCCACTATAAGGCCCCTTTTACACTACCAGAATGATGGAAAGGGGCCTTAGTGTAAATGAGAATCAGGCCCATGTAGTGGAGGTTTTTCTTAGTTCATACTGGCTAGCTGAATCTCAGTGTCATAGTTCTTAGGCCTTTCAGCCACTCAGTGCTGCTGAGTGACCCTAATGGGGGCTGTTAGCTTCAGTGCAATTAGTAATGAAAGTCGATGGCATGGGATGTTTCTGAAAGCCTTCATCAAAAGATATTTTTAAGGTAACATTGAATATTGCATTCCCAGGGGCCCACTCTGAGATTCCAGTTCTCACACAGCTTTTCTTGAGTTACTACCAACAGTACCTAATCTGAATCGGGGCACAAAGGTACATGTTTCAGCAATTGCTCTCTCTGCAATGTTACTCCATGCAACCCACTTCTCTATCCCCAATGCATGCACTCACATCACCAGTCCTGCACACTCAGCTTTTTCCGATGACCATATAAGGAAGATGCTATTCAGCATCAGTGACACTCTGTACCTCGGAGGAACACCCTACACCCCCATGTTCATCTTTATAAAATGATTGTGTGGTAGTCATGCAAAGTTTGTCATGTTGGGTGTCTCCAGAAGGCTCATGATGCACTGAGCATGGTTGTTATAGTGATATTATAGTAACTGTTACAGTAATGTTATAGGTCATAATTTCATGTATGTAGTTATGAGGCTGAAAATATATCCTCATGGTTTAAAATAAGCACAGGCAAAAACTCTCCAAGAGCAGAGAGGCCGTTCACACCTCATCAGGGCAGGTATGGGACAAACCCACCCCAGCCTCACAGGAACAAAAGACGCTGGCCTAGGCAGCAACAAAAGAATCCGTTAGGCTCTCGAGGGAGTCCCCCCTCTTCCTTTGGTCAGTTGGAAACTGAGATGAGGTAATCCTCACCTGACTCTGAAGGGGGGAGGGCAAAGCCAAGAGGGAAGAAAGGACATGATAAAAGGGAGAGACATTTACCATGCCCTCTCTTTCCCACCTATACGTACAGACACCACACCAAGCGACTGAAGCGCTGATCAAAGGGGAGAGCCTGGCTGAAGAGCAAACAGCCAGCCTGTGGTGAGACGCAACTAAGTTTGTAAGGGCACTGAAAGTGTTAAGATCACCTTAGAATGCATTTTGCTTTTATTTCATTTGACCAAATCTGACTTGTTATGTTTTGACTTATAATCACTTAAAATCTATCTTTATAGTTAATAAATCTGTTTGTTTACTCTAGCTGATGCAGTGCGTTTGGTTTGAAGCATGACAGAGTCTTCCCTTGGGATAACAAGCCTGGTAGTCAATTTCTTTGTTAAACTGACAAACTCATATAAGCTTGCAGCATCCAGCAGGCATAACTGGACACTGCAAGATGGAGTTTCCTAGGGTTCTGTCCAGGACCGGAGATATTGTCCAGTGTCATTCGGTTGCAAGCAGCTTACATGCCAGAGGCTGTGCGTGAACAGCCCAGGAGTGGGAGTTCTCACAGCAGAGCAGGATAAAGCTGGCTCCCAGAGTCAAGGATTGGAGTGACCTAGCAGATCACTGGTCCAGATAACACCAGAGGGGAACATCACAGCATCCCAACCTGAAGGAGAGCTCTCTTAGGCTGAGAGTCACCAAGTCCCCCAAGGGAATTACAACATGTATCTCCAGCACATTTTGTCCTTTGTTGAGTGAAAAGAGACTCTTATAGGGAGAAAACAAATGTTGGTGCAGGTGGTGGGGTGACATGAAAGGAAAACAGAAGTATGGAAGTATAACATTGTATAAGGGGACATGCTGGATACATTGTATATGAGAGGGCATGCCAAAACATGTTACAAAGTATCTGAGGGAGCACACGTAGGGACAGTTAGCTTTTGAATGGAGAAGCAATTAAGATAGAGCCAGCATGTCTAAGAAGCAGGCATCAGAATGGAAGGTGTGAAGGGCAATTAGTTAAGTTAACTAGAAGCTGTTAAAGGAGATTGTTAAGGGTGGCAGGTAATTGAAGATACGTGACTAGTCTCAGGGATCTCGAAGGGTGGTGACTAAAATCTTTTTCTTCTTTTGTCTGTAACTTCTCTGTAACTTGTTCTCCAAAAAATTGTATAAATTAAAAGACACAAGCCCCACTCGGGGGGGCTCACTTCTAAATGTATTAGCAGAGCAGCTTTGCTAATAAAACAGAGTGGTCTGATAAATTGTGAGTCTGAGTCAAACTTTGACAATTTGGAGGTCCCAGCGAGATGGCAAGTGGCTTCACTGAGGCTGTGTGATCCCTGACTGCCTTGCAGGACGATCGTGGCAGCCGGCGCCTGGACGCTTAGTCCAAGCGATCCTCCACAAGACAGAAAGGTACACAGCAGCAGCGCAGTCTACGCCATTGAACTTGTTGGTTCCCACTCTGTTCGGGTAGGGGTCTTTGGATCCAGCTTCTGGAATCAGACGTCTCAGGTAATTATTATTTTTGTGCTTTAACCGGTTTGAGGACTGTCTTGTCTTTGTGTCTATCCGTCTTCCCCGTGGTGTGTGTGTGAATCTGGGAGCCATCTCTGTCCGGAGACTGGCTGACCAAGGGGTCCCCATCCCCACGGTCTGAATAAGTGGAATCTGCACAGCTGCAGCTGCACCACGCCTTGGGTATAACCCCTGGTGTGAAAGCAAGGGCAGTTGAGGCAGTAGCCTGTGGGCTCCTTTCTGTGTGTTGCACCGGGTACCGCTCTGCTGAGCCCGAATTTCCTTCTTGTGTGAGTGCTGTGTGAAGTCCTCCTGGATGGGTAATCAGAAGTCTAAGGTAGAACAGTTCCCTAAGGGAACTCCAGCTTATTTTATGTATCTTAGGAGGGGTCTGGACTCTTGTAGGTTTCTTGAAAAATGGTCCAAATTAGCTCTAGAGAACCCCAAATTACAGTGGCCACTGTTAGGTTCTTGGGACAAGGATCGAGTGGACGCTTTAAAAAGCAAACTTGTCCTCCCAAAAACCAAATTGGAGAGAGGAGAAGTAGACTGCTTCATGCAGTGGTGGAAAGAGGCAAATCGTAGATGGACTGAGTCAAAACTCACCTCTCTTAAAAATTCTATCAAAAAACTAACAGTTCAATTGGATGCAGTCTCTCCCACCACTAATCCGAGCGCTCCCCTTTGCCCAGCCCTGTGCAATGATCCGGATCAAACCCGACCCCCACCATACTCCTGCGCAAATAAGAAAGCAGAAAAGGAAAAATCTTCAGTGACTACAGATAATGAAAGTGAAGAAGATACCCTCATTGGCCTCGCAGCTCTGCAAAATATTATGAAGAAGAAATCCAAAGCAGACTGCAAAGATTCGCTTGACATCTCTTCTTGGAAAAGAGAACCTGATGGGAGGTTAATGAGAGACTCTGATCAAACTGTTGTGGCACCCTTACGAGTCCTTAAAATGGGAGAAAGTGAGTCCATATGGGATTATAAGCCCTGGACTCGTACGGAACTTTTATCTATAGTTAAAAGTTTTCCCAAACCACAGGAAAACTCTTGTCAAATTTGCTGAGGAGTTTCTGTTAATCTGTGAAACCTATGAACCCTCTGAGACAGATCTCCTCCAACTGTGTAAATTGTTAGCTCCTGTCAGTTATTATGAAAAATGGTTGGCTGCAGCAGATTGGCCAGCTGAGGCACGCCACTCAACCATAAAAAGTACTGGCCCAGATTCGGCATACAGAGACCGGTGTATGGCTCTTTGGAAGCGCCTGCATCAAGCCATTCCCAAAGTGTGGTCTCCTAAAACAATCTGGACAGCAATACGTTGCTGTAAGCAAGGGCAAGGAGAAAGCCCAGGCGACTATAGGTCCCGGCTAACTGATATTTTCCTACAACATTCAGGAATACAAGAGCCCGATGTAAATGGGCAGGGGGCCTTGGCACATGCATTTATTGATGGTCTTCTCCCTGCCACAGGCAGCATGTTAAAACGAATAAGTGTGGGATGGGAGACTGAAACCATGGACAAATTGCTGGCAGTAGCAGAGCATTGCCACCGCACTTTAAAAGGAAAGGAGTCCTTCCAAAAGTTAATGGCTCTGCAGATACAGCATTATTTAGGACTAAGCAGACCACACTGGGTACAGGGACGAGGTTGCGGAAGGGGGCGGGGGGGCTGGATTA